ATATTTACACTTTAATAAAATGCAAGACTGCACCTCGTGTGTGGACAAACCTGTCAGGCACCGCTAGCTCCATAGAGGGTATCCCCAAGCAGAGAGGAAGGTTTTGCAGCCTCTGGAGTTTCCGTGCTCCGTGGGTCGTATTATCCCTGTGGTACTCAAGGGGAAGGAGCCTAGCTCAGGAGTGCCCCCACGGGCAGCCCTGCTGCCTTGAGGTGCAGACCATGCCTGCCTGGATGTAAACGCAGGACAGCACCAAGGACTGAGCTCATTCAGTCCTCGATGGAGAGGACTCGCTGCTTATGGTAACACTGAGGTACCTCAGCCACTGCAGCTTCCTTCAGCCACAACAACTTTCCTCTTCAGTGACCCGCTTCCTCCAGAGCCTTTACTCTGTGCTGCAGCCTCCACATCTGCCAGCAAGGCTGAGGTCTCATCGTATCAGGCTGAGGAAGGACACATGCCCAAACTCCTCGGACAGCTAGAGCTTTGCATCTCTCCAATGCAAAGCGTCTTGCCCTTCTGCTAATCTCTTAAGTGAGCTTGCTATGAAACGTCTCTTAAATGAGCTAATATGAACTTGCTCCTCTGGATTACTTTGCAGGATGCTGCAGCCAGAACAAGGTGTCCAGGTAGCTTGAAGAAAGGGCCACACAAGGCCTTCTATGTCTTTTTATTTGATCTGACACAAGGGTGACAGCATCTACCTCAGAACATGTTATGATATGACAGAAAAGAGGAGAAATGGGCAAAGACTGCTGCTCACGGATCAAGGTGTATACCATATGGATTAAGTGTACAGCCTATCAACTTAGAGGTTTTCCTTCCAGCTACCATATGTTTAAAAATGGCATGGGGTGGAATAAATCAGAGAATCCTGGCAGATCCTGGCACCAGTACTTACAGTTGCAGGGACCCCATCCAACTGTCTTGCTCCGTGATTTGACACCAGAATCAGCTAAAAGGTAGTCACTTGGGGCTTTGTCCTTCTAAAGTATGGAACTCCAGTTCCTAGCCACTGATATGAAGACACCCATAGCACAGACATACAAACCATCTGACAATTCCAGATACTTATTTAAGCAGTTGCTTTTGCCAATGTTTTAGCTGCTGGAATCGTGTTCCTTCACACACTCTCTACAGTCCAGTCAGGAAGGGTAAGAAGTACATCCTGGCCACAACATTGACCTGTACCTTGAACCAGCAAAACACAAAATCTATTTTTTTGACTTTTTCTTAGCCAAAGAAATAACAAAATTCAGTCACTGCTTATCAAAAGGAAGAAGAATCTGCCTGTCTCAGGGACCATCTTCATACAAGGAGCTTGTATACAGAGCCAACATAACAGATAGCCTTCCCAGTTCCCAGTGAACTGAACCCAACTGGAACTGACAGGCATTTAGTGGACTCTGCCACCTTGCAAATCCTAACCACGTATCAGGAAGAAAAAGGCTTCCTCTTATTTTTGGCCTTGTCTTGGCAAACCTTCCCAACTCAACAGAGCACACAAAAGTGAATGTGCATCCCATGACATGCAGCATCAGCAAAGCAGGTGCTTGTAGTGGTGAGGGACTGCTTGGAATGCAGCTCTGCAGAAACTCCAGCAGCACGAGCACGCTGCCACCCCTGGTGCCCCCGGCGCGGCGGGACGCACCTCTGAGGATTCCTTTGGCAACGATGGGCAGCGACGTCAGGCCTCGAAGCCATTTAATGTCCTCCCACTTGATGCTGGCATCAATTGCATCGGCTACGTACGCAGCCAGGCCGCTATTTTCTCCGAAGTCTTTCCCAGAAGAGAAGGCCAAATCATCACTTGAAAAGTTTTTCAATCTAAAATGACAAAGATGCAGAAAAACAGTTTGAGAAATAAGAGTCTGAGAAACATTCATTGTAGTATTAATAGCATCAGTCCTTAACACCAGCCTTTAACACACCTCTCTCTTGAATTACAAGGTAAGAAGAAAGTGCCTACATAAGCATGCCACATCACGTTCCTTATTAAGCCAAAACCTTTGGGCTGATGAATCACTTGATAACCGGTGCAAAGTGCTCTTGTCCAATGCAACACTCCAATTATTTTCAAGAGAGATAAGACCAACCCAGAATCTAAAGCTTCAGGATCAAACCTGCCATCAGGAGACAGAATCCAAAAAATACAAGATCCAGCCAGCTCTTCCCTTGCCCTTTATGTGCATTTCCATGGAAAATGTAGGGGGGAAAAAAGTTCATATAAAAGTGTAAGCTCTTATTTACCCTAAAGTGCCAAGCCCATCTCACCAGTCCTAGGAACTGAATTGAAAATGACAGTCCCTGCAAGAGAGTTTACAGTCTTACTAGGCAGAAGAGCAGCAGGAGAAATGAGGACCCATCAAAAAGCTAAGGCTGTGCTGATGTAGGAAAGTTGAAGTACATACCCCAAGGCTCGCAAGCCCTAAAACATGATCAGTGACCCCAGTGCCGCCAAGGACACCGTCAGTCCCAGCTGTGGGAATCTTCCCAGGCACCTTCAATTTCCCAGTAGATGACAGTCAAACTGCCCAAAGTTGTGTGTCAAGGAACACAAGCACGAGGAGCGCAGGCCTGTGATCTTTCAGGCCCTAACCCTAATGGAATGATGGCAGAAACTGTCTTTCCTTCCATATTGGACTACTTTATTCTCATATTCCACATTTGAGGAATAAACAATATTTCTGCATGGAAACGGAGTAGTTTCACTTCTGATTTCATGCCTTCACCAAATAGCATTTCACATGGCTTTCCCTCTCAGCTCCAGGCATAGAAGAAAATGAGACAGGAGCAGGCGCTCTCAGCGAGATCCAGCTTTTCAGCTTGGCTTGGGGAGGGTGGGGTATGCACAGAAAAACAGAACCATGGATAAGATTATATAAATAACTGTTGTTTTTCTTGGACTGTGAAATGCAGATCAACACTTGAATGAATGTTGCCTTACATACATTTCTGAGCACAATGGCACCTTGTTGTTACTTCAAAACTTTGTTGAAAGTCTAAAGCCAAGAAAAAGTTATCATATAACCGTGCAGAGCTCAACACTAGAGAATTTCACCCCTGACTCTGCAACAAAACGCCACCCGAATGTCATTTTGAAATCTAAAGTGATGAATTTGAACCTCCAAAGATTACTCCAGTTCTATATTATTTCATATGTTTCACTCAATTAAACAAAACTTGTTATGATTTGTGTTAGGTGGGGTCAAAGTGAGCTTTTCTCAAATATTTTTAGATTATTTGTCTCACGCTCAAACTGTTTAACCCCAGTTCCTAAAATAACATTGCCCCTAAGAAAAGCTATTCCACCCAAAAAAACATAATTTCCTTAGGTAGGACAGCAAGTATCAATAACATTTTAGCAATTGGAGATCCATGGCAGGATTAAAGTTTAGGGCATATGCGTATCAGTGTGCTTCACTTGAATGCTAGATTCTCAAGGCATTCATGCTTTTACTCCTGGGATTGTACTGTGACGCAGGAAGAAAACACCAGTGTGAGCAGAGCTAAGCTAACCTTTACCATATCGTTTATTAATTTCACATACAGATACAAGGAGGATGACCCCACACTCCAACCTCTTGAGCTCTGTTGCAGGGAGGAGCACAGTTTCATTATACAGTTGCATGCCTTAATAATGAATTGAATATTACCAAAATGACTAAGGACTTCAGGATACAATTTTCCCTTTCTTGTTATGCTCGTGTTTGTGCCGTATGTACAATGCACAGCATTCTTTGAAGACATAGCATTTCAGATCCCTTAAAAAGATTTCAGACTTGCACCCAGAATTCAAGTCAAAGTCAATCTGTTCCAGAATACCCTTTCTCTTCCATCCCACCCTCTCTATCTTTGCATTCCTCTACACTGCAGGCTCTGAATAAGAGTGAATATGCAAGGCTTAAGATTCACCATTCTGCTCTCCAGTCAACACCAGCACATATATGCCAAAGAAAAATCCCGTTCTTAAAAGATTTTGGCTCCATTTTGCAAACTGAAGCTCTAGCTAATCCATCCACTAACGTCCTTCCTTAACTGCTAAGGAAGTTGTGTTACAGCATGCCACAGCTTTATCAGGTATTGATAAGAGTGGTCTGTACAGGACACCCATTTATATTTGCAAAGGCCAGGTGAAACCAGTCCCACGTCACTACACTCAGAACACCACCAGAGAATGCTCTGGTTAAACACTGCATAGGCCCAGCAATAACTAGAATCTAGAAGTAGGGCTGAAGTCACTTCTTATAAAACCACTGATTCTGGCGAGCTAAAGAAAGAAGTCTCAAAAGATGAGTCAGGGTGGAAATTGCCCTCATGGATCATTTAGAGGCTGACCCCCATGTACTTCTGTGTTTGACTAACAAGAATTGAAGCTGCTTGAAAGCAATAGCAATATAGTTCTGGACCTACTACAGAGTCACAGGAAAATATAAGTTAGAAGAGACCTTCCATGACCATCTAGTCCAAACCCACCAGTCAGATCACAGCCAACTTGGCAATTAGACCACACGCAAAGTTAGATCAGGTTTCTGGGGGCCACATCCAGTTGAATTTTGAGTATCTCCAAAGATATATTGCCAGACGTATTAAAAAAAAAAAAAATGACCCATTGCACTGACTTCAGCAGTCCTCCTGGCACACTGCACATCTTTTACAGAGGGCAAACAGACAAGAAAACTTATTTTTGTGCTCAGGTGGACTACAGCTGGAGCAAAGCAAGCAACACGTGCTCAGTTCCTAGCAGGAAAGCAAAGGTAGTATATGTCACCCTGAATAAGTGTGTCGTGAATTCACCAGCAGCATCCCAGGGAAGGGAGCAGCGGTGATGACCGTGACCCTGTGCTACTCGCGAGCAAATACCTGAGGTGTGGAGGAAGCTGGAACTTGTTGCGCACGTCGTCAATGCGCCTGCCAAGGAACGGCGTGTCCACTGTCACGAAGATCCCTTTGTAGCCGGCTCTCTCCGCACGCCTCACTAGGGATTTGGTGACCTCCCGGTCCTTGTATATGTAGAGCTGCAGCCAGTGAAGGCCATCGGGAGCCGCTGCAGCAACCTCTTCAATGGAGGAGGTGGCCCAGGAGCTCAGCATCATCCCTGTCCCCACCGCCTGGCAAGCTGGAGGAACACAGAGACACCAGAGTCAACAGGGAGGCTCCTCTGAGCAGGAGCACTGGGCATGAATCACGAGACAGGATCAGGTCATGTAACTTCACGCTTCCTTTCCTCGCTGCATACGCACGTTTCCAGTCTTCCAGGGAACCCTAGCTGATTAGCAGCCCTGTTACTATCAGCTCTGGGCTGCTGTGAAGCTCCCCAGCTCATGCTCTGTGCTCAGCTGTCTATCAGCTCGCTGTGATGATCCCTGCGCCAGCACTGAAAACGAAGGACGTGATGCTCACACGGAGCCTCGTCCCATGTTACTAATTCCTCCTCCTACAGGGCCCCGGGTTTGTAAGGTCCTGGCGTGGGACTGGTGGCCTCTGCAGAGGCGAGTTCCACACGGGGCTGCACTACAAACCTAACCACATGCTATTAGATTTTATGAATCTATCACTTATTCTCTTGGTGTAATCTATCGCTTAATATAAAATAAAGGAAAACACCCTGTAAAATGCAAAAATATTACACAAAGCCTTGTTTTTCTTGGTCTACCGCAGTATGCATACTTTTAATGTAAATGGGCCTCTGTTTCAAAACCTCATCTCTAGCCTATAGAGGTATTAAAAAGTAGCATTTTATTAAATAAGGATTACAAATCTCTTCGAGTGGAAACTTAGGAACAGTTTATTCAAACAAATTGGTTATACCCTCTGACAACCTCAGGCAGCTTTCAGTCAGGGAGAATAACCTGTCTTTGCTCTTCTGTCTTGCAGATTTTGCTACCTTATGAAGAACTGTAAACTGTAAGAGGCAAAACCTTTCAAGCAGTAGCCAGAACAAACACCTGATAAGCCTTGGAAAATGCTCTCTACTTCTACTTAGATTCGGCCTCAGCTTCAAGTGGTGGCATAGGGTGGTTCATCTTATAAGCAGCCTTTCTGCAATGTAGATTCATCTCTTGCATCTACCCAGTCCTAGTGGGAAGTAAAGTTTTCACTTTCCTGCCTACCCAAACATGGATGAGTTAAGTCACCGATTTGTCTTCACTAATCATTTGCAAGCAGATTGCAATTTACTCAAAAGGCTAAACAGGTCAAATTACTCACCAAGTTGAAAGATCTTCACCTATTTGTTATTGAACACCATTAAATAATCTATCGATCTGTCAGGAAATAACATCTGTTGTTGGATTAAATAAGAACAGCTTGGATGCGTCCAACAAAATATAGGCATCTGCACATGGTGTATTCTCCCATACTCTACTTTCAGCCAGTGAAATACAATAGGCATTTCCAGGGTACAAATCTCCCACCGACTACACCAGACGCTGCAGGGGAACAGATCGCATGGAAATGACTCAGGTAGGTGAGATGAATTGCACCTTAGCTGCCCAGCTGAATCACTGCATTTTTAAACGATAATTGCTGGCATATTTACTGGGGTGAAATAAGGTGCAGGTATTAACTGACTCAAAGCATAATCTGATTTAGTGATGAAAACCAAAACAGTTCATGCCAGTTTGAAAGCCCAGGCTGAGTTCACACTAGTAAATAATAATAATGATAAAAAAGTTTTCTACACAGCTGGGACCTGCTCTGCTAGAGAACAAGAACTTACCATGGCTGTACATGCACATATCTATCAAAGAACTGAACACTTTTAAATCCTAGCCCTTTAATTAGTGCCCCTGAAGTTACTGAAAGTGTTCCCCTCTCCCACATTAGGCACCTAGAAATAAGTTTCTGAAGAGCTCATGTAAACTGAATGCCTAAATAAAACAGCAATAGCTGGGAGTTTCCTGTGGTGGGTGGTTGTAAATCCCGTAACAAGCCTTTTGCTGAATTAAGTCCCTGAAGGGACGCTGAGCAGCAAGGGAACAGCATTCCTGTCCTCCATCAAATACATGTCCATGGATGAAGGGGAGGGTTGCTAACCAGTCATTGCAAAACCCTCAGATCAGATAAGGGAAAAAAATGTAAATGTTATGGTTCAATCTGTCTTTAGGTATCTGTATTTCTATTCTTTATTTTTATTCTCAACTCTACTTGTACAGCCCTAAGGGCACAAGAACAGTTGCAAATGTATTAACAAAAACAAAATTTGCACTGCAACCTATTCAGTGAATGGAAATTTTTAGACACATAAAATAACCCTGTATCCTCTCCATTTATTTGTATACGTGGAGATGGAGAAGACAACATTTACATTTTATTCCAGATTAAAGTAATTTGGTTCAATCTGGGTTCAACCATCACAAACTGGGTTACAGAGCTTTCACAGAAGTATATCCACAAAACTTTTGTTGTGTATCCTGTAAAATTAACCATTCTTTGCTAAGGAATTAACTCAAGAGTCATAATTTAGATCTGCACAATCAAATCCAAAGTCTACACACACACAAAATTTATACAAACTTGTAAAAATTACAGATCCAGTTTTCAGTAGGCTAGATCAGGAGGCTGATCTATGCTTTATTTGTCTTGATCATTTTAAGATTATTTTGACAATTTTGTAGACTCAAAAATTTATGATAAATACTCTTGAAGTGTTGCCAGGTCCTTTTTTTCCTAGAATTAAGCTTTGCTAAAAATATGCTCACTATACTAGGATATTTTAGCTGAAGTTTAAGAAAACAGAAGTAATTCATTTCCTCTAACAGTCATATTTAACATGCCAAGTTTGGGGTGCTACAAATATTTTAAATTATTAAGATTCAGTACTGGATCCATATACCCATGTGACACTCTTCCCGCAATGTGACATTTACCAAAGTTGAAAATCAGATTTTTATAAATCAGCCTTTCTCCAGTCCTTTTCAGTTCACTTTTAGTCTTTTTTGGAGCAGGGTGGGGTCCAGCTTTAAGCCCAAACAGACAGCATTGCCTGAAAGCCTGCACTTACCTTTATACGCAGTGAGAGCCTCCGACAAACATAGCACGAGGCACACACAGGACTTTGGGAGGAGTTTTAATTATCAGCATAATAAGACTTCGAGCTCTTCGTGCTTTGTCTTTTCTCAGGATCAGATTTTGCCATAACGAGGATTGTGGTGGAATACTTGGGAAGGGGAATCTGCATGGTCTTCACTTCTGAGTTGCGTTACCAGGGCATGGTCCATGCCAGCCCATGCCGATGGGGAGACACCGTTTGCTCCGACCCACAGCTCCACAACTTTGCTTGGTCCAGTGAAGCCCTGGGCCAGCAGAGCCTTCTGTGCCGGAGGCGTGGGAGAAAAACTCTCACCAAGGAAGATAAATCACAGTAAAATTTCTTGAGAAATTCGACTGAAATATTTCACATGGCAACAAATCAAGATCAACCACTCGGTAGGACCAACTTCAGAAGAACACAGGAGAACACTATAGAGGTGACGTCTTTCAGCCCTCTTTTTTTCAATCCTAAACCTCTCAATCTCCTTCCTCCTTAAGCAACTTCTGATAAGACATCACTCCAGCTGTATGAAAAGGACACAGATGCATCTTATTTCAGGGTACGACACCAAAGAGGAGCTTAGTTTAAGTCTGAATGTTTTGTAAGGATTGCTCTGTAGCCTTAGTGGGAACTTTTCTCTTGCTGTGCAAATTCTCATCATTTCCCTTTTAGGGGAATCTCTGAAGAAAGGCAGTCAAAGCTTCCCCCATTTGGTCATTCTAACCTGAATCCACCAGTAACTACATAGTCCCTAACTTAGGGGACAGAGTACACTGTTTGGGATCAACAAAGCGTCCTTCTGGCATCCCGGTATTTCTCAAGAAAAGTAACTATGTTTTTGCAGTTGCATCTCCTAAGAAACAAAATTGTTTAAAGTACTTAACATTGCTTTCTTGCTGAAACACACTTGGCTGAGAAATGCCCTGCCCAGCCTTACCCCACTTGCTCCTTACAAAACACCGCATGCTAGTTGGGTGGGTTATGGGTTTGTTGATGCAGTGCATTTTGTCAGCTGTGCAGGAAGGCCAAACGCAGCAGAGAAAATATGAAACAGAGCTGCCTGGTCTAGAAGCAAGGGTTGTCATGTCAGACAGCTTGCGTAGCTGCACCAGAAAATCCCTCAGATATGCCACTCTCTGCCATCTCTGGGAAAAACTAAAGCAAGTTGAGTGTTTTCCTCCCAGCAACTCCACTGAGGCTCCTTGAAGCCTAATGTCTTCACAGCCCCTCTAAAACTAACGTTTTAAGGAGATAACACACAGGTAAAAGGCAAAAGATGAATACAAAGTGCTCCCATGGTCAGAGGGGCCAATACAAAAAGCAGCAGGTTGCAAAATTCCTCATTCAAAGCCATGGGCTTGTCAGCTGCCATTAGCAGGAGAGCTCAGAGAGCCACAATTCAGGTGGTCAGCGGCATGAAAACTAACAGAGAATATTAAAAGTCTGTCAAGAACCAGGGGAACAGCAGCATTTTGTCCCTCACTAGCTGGAAATAAGGTACTTTCCAGTAACAAAATGGGGCACATCGGGAGAGTTGTTAGTCAATGTTGCTATTCTCTCTTTGGTAAAGCAAACAGTACGGTCCCATCGCAGGTGATGGTGAAACCCTTCTTGCATCAACAAGAAATCAGGAAGTTGTTTGAGAGCAACTACAGAGGGTAAACAAAATGGTGAGGTCTGAATGACTAGCATTCAAAGTTTCCAAAAGATGGGGCCAAGAAAATGGTCAAGATACTCAGGCTGATTTTCAACAAGTCTACAGAAGTCAGCTATTGCAATAGTGCTTCTGACTAAACAGAATATTAAATATGGTAATCTGTAAGAATTGAGACCATTTAAACAATTAGCATCCACACTAACAGACCACAAATCTTGTCAAAAATAACACTACCTATCTGTTTATAAGCTGTTTATAAGCTGTTTATAGACTGGCATTTCAGAAGACTGCTATTCCTTGGTAAGCAGCTGGAGAGTGAACAAGATTTTTTTTTCCAGTGTACTTGAACATGAGCGTTATTTAAAGGGCCGTAAATACAACTGCACTCCCTAAGGGGGTGTGAACTCTGAAGACGACACGCAGATCGCATTGGTTGTGAAAGGAGGATGAAATCAGCATGACACGGGAATGTCTTTGTATGAAGGGACAATGAATCTTCCAAAGGATGAACAGAGAATTCACACAGGATCAGAACAGTTCTGTTCATTTTGGTTAAAAAGTGTTTAGAGACCAGCCCTTTGCTCTCCAATGGTGGCTAAGATTATTCATCAAATTTGGCAAATATTTTTAGTTAAGAAGTCAAAGTGAGAGCAGGAAGGAAAAGAAAAATTCACAGAAGTCAAAATGTCATGTGTTGATATTTTCAATGGAAATGTTTTCTTCTGAACTAACACTTTTGTTTCAAAACAGAACTATGGTTAAAAGCATTAGCTAGTAGGAAAATGAAATAAAACATTGTGTTTTGGATCAAATCAAACATTTCAGTTGATCCAAAACAGTTTTCCTCCCAACTTTTAGCTCCTAATGAACAAAAAATCCATTATTTGCAAAACTGTCAAATACACACTGATGAACTGCCACAAAAATACTATGCAATATATTGAGGAAAGAACATCAAAAACTGGAACAATTTCTAACCAGGTCTATGAGACAGGGTTCATGAAATCATTTAAAGGATAAGGAAATATTCTCTGTAAGGAAAGATTCCAGGTCCACTCAGGTCAACTAAAACTAAGGAATTACCTATTATCTATTAGACCCTATGTAGAGAGCTTTTTTTTTTTTTTTTTTTAAGTCTAGCTAACAAAAGTATCAATAAGATCCAACATCTGGAAGCTGAAGCTACACAGATTTGGACAATCATTATGGTTGTATTACTAAGAGTGGAAATAGCTTTCGGAATAATTTAACAATTCTTGTGCAGGACTGCCCATCACGGAGTTTCTAAAGTCAAAGTTTGTTTTTTTCCCCAGAACATATGCCTTATTAATAAAACAGAACAGCCAATAAAGGTGCATCCTCAACAAGACAACACCTCTACTTATTTTATAGAGTGCAGGCAAACCCACAGAAAGAACAAATAGCCATTTAAAGCAAGCTGCGGCGTTACAGTTTAAGGGAGGTCACCGAGAGGCTCGGCGACCACGTTTTCAATACAAGGAAGGAGACAGCTTGCTCTTCCCCTCGCTGTGCCACCCGCTCCGCCAGCGAGCGCAGTGCCACCACCAGGAGGTTGGGTCTCCTCAGTTGGATGTCCACATCACACAGCTGGTGGCTACACCTGGGTGTTGAAGAGTGACAACATTCACATCTGCGAGAAAGCTGCTCCGGGTCAGACTCTGGGACCCCCGGGCCATCACTTCACCCCTCACAGCACGTTGCTTTCTGCACACCGGAGCCAAAGTCAAGCCTATAAAGTACACTGTGTTTTCCAAAAGCCACAAGATTACGTATCAGATTTTCTTGGCTTGTGTAAGTGAAGCAAAGTTGAAGCAAAGCTGACCAAAAGCAACCAACAGTCGGCTCCATGCGTCTCAGAGATATCCCTAAGAGTTTAAGAGATGTTGGATGCAACAAAAGCCCTGACCCCGAATGTCCCAAATTTAAGGGAAGCTCTAAGCCAAACGTGTACTTTACAGCTAATCCCTGTCATCTAATAAGGTCAAACCAAAAGCTTGGCACCGAATGCCCCACTCCACCTCTAGGAGCACTTATTTTTTTCCCCCTGCAAGAAAAGTTAATGCAACACAGAGGGTGTGATTTTAATTACCCTCTCCTTTGAAAGAGAAGAAAAAATAACTGACTCTCAAGGATATGTTTATTTGGCCACATATTCCAATTGTTGCCAGTACACCAAGCTCTTCTAGTTTTGATTTAAAATCCAGGAAAATTAAACGCAATAATCATGTTCAAGTTTGAAACAGTAAGTGCACAAAAGCCAGGAAATTCCAAAATTAAGTTATCTACCACAACCATAACTCAGGCCTGGTAGTTAGCTTATTGTATCACTTGACTGTATACACAGTTAAAGATTTATGTCTTAAAATGGGGCCAGACCGTAGCACGGGTGGGAATCTGGGATATGGAATGTCCTGAATTTAGTGCATTTCAAGTCTCCCTTTTAACATTGTATTAATATGTTTGCATTTAACAGTATTACGCTTCAGAGTTTCCTCTGCAAAGTGAAATCAGCAGAACTCGGGCCAGAAATATCTGCAAAAGCTGCCAAAGAGGGGACAGCACTGGCAGGAGGGACTGTGGTAGGAGGCCTCTTCCCAAGTCGATTCAAGGTATTTGAGCTCCATCGTGTGGAACGGGGCTGCACCTACACTATGCACAAAACCTTGGTTTCCCAATAAATCTCTCGAGGAATGAGAGGTACATCTCCAAACATACTAGAAATCAAAGAAATCTTTTACAGAAAATACAATTCTGTTTCTCTGTGGCTCAAGTCTAAGCCTAGCAAAAGGCCTATGTTTGAGTCAATCCTTGTCCCCTCTCCTGAAGTTGTGTTGCAGCTCACCCTAGCAGCCTGTCACAGCCACGTTGCTTCTAAAAGAGTTAAGAGCAGCTCTCACTGCACCACATGTGACGAGATTCACTTCATGCTAGTGCCTGCTGCATTAGCAATGGAGATGCTGTTAAATAAATAGCTCAGCTATGAGCTGGACTGAGGTTTTTTCATTCTGGGGCCTCGTTCATTCTACCCATGTGGGATCATAGCATTGACTGCCCAAAGCTATTCATATGCAACAGGTGCAGGGTTTTTTTTGTTGTTGTTTTTAAATGACTGTGTGTCATTTGGCAGCTCAGGATAAGGAAGCTTCACATGTAAAGCGTGGCCAATATCTTTTTTGCACAGTCTTTCAGACTCATGGACATCTTTGCACAGACCTACCCCAGAGGGGTCCTTATCTTGGTGGCTCCCGGGGACGCACTCAGAGAGCGGTGTTCAATGTGAGTGTCTTTCATAGGCAAAGAAAGGCTTCTGAATTTCTGGGGACAAAGACACGGATTATCACTGCTGTGCATAAGCAGCTTTGTGAGAGGAAGCATGCATTTTCATGAAAAAAGTATGCATTTATATTTATAGACTATGTATACTATATAGTAGATATAAATTTCATTTTTATTTGTTCAAGTGATAAGAAGAATGTCTGGAGGCCTAAATGCCTTATAAGAAAACAGAGCAGCTGTAATGGTGTGAGTACCTCGATGGGCAGGAGGAGCTTGAGAGCAGCTTTCTGACAACAGGTGGCTCTTCAGCCTCGCCAAAAGGGCAGTAGCAGTTTTGTTGAAAAATACAAGCAGACTGAAAGCAAAAATCAGGCTACGCTGTGGTAACAGAAGAGGCAAGAAACAGACAATTCCTCTATGATTTCATTCCCAAGTCAAACCTGACAGGCTTTCCTAAAAGAGACATTGCTGAAGTTGTGCAAAATTACTAGATAAACGAGGGCCCATCTAGACCATACACTGTGATAGCTCCTCCTAATGAAGCTGCAGTATCGAAAAAATAGAACAACAACAACAACAAAATCTATGAATCTATTCACCTGTATTACAGCAGATTACAAAGCTTCCTTGGTTTTGCAAAAAGATCCAATTTTCTTCACATGCTGCTTACAGGAGGGGCGCAGACATTGAGCCAAAGGCAAAGCTGCCAAGGCCGCTGCTCGGGGCCCATGACACGTGGAGGGCGGCCACGTGCGCTCCTCACACTCCCCATGTCTGTCACTGCCACCAGCTGCACTTTGGATGCGTTTTACTGAAAAAGCTTTCGGAGGAGCCCCATCTCCAGAGGGATGGGATGAGATGGGGGACTACGTGCAGACAGGGAGCGTGTTTGAGCCTATGGCTCCTCTTGTGCAGCAAAAACATGGAGGCTACATGTGAAAAATCAAATAATATGGACGCTGCAAGTCATTTTGAAAGCCTGAAGACCTCAAAGCCAGGATTGTGTGAACATCACATTTCCTAGGAAGAGAATTTCTAATGGCCCTGCTATACCTTGCTGACTTTAAGAGAGACAGCATGAGCCAGGAGGCTTTCTGATTTTAGCAGGTCAGATCCTTTTTCTCCTAAGGCCAGATTTTCAGTTCGTGTAAAGCAGCACAGGTCCACTAAGAAGTTGGGCCAACACTAAGGAGTTGGGCTGATTTCACTAGCTAAGGGCCAGCCTTTCAAAGTGACCAGAGAACCCACGGGAGAAAGGACCAGCACCCACTTGCAGGCCATCAGCCTTATCATGAGTTCCTGAAACTTTAGTATAAATTTTAATGTGCTTGTTCTCATCAGTGATGCGCACTTGATGTGAAGGCAGTTATAAAATAGTTATTCAACTGGGTTCTCCGCATCAGCTTCCCAACCATTTCCCCATTGCAAACTGCACTTCTCCCCTGACATGAGTGATGAGAACTCACGTATGAAGGAAGGCAATAAAAGCAAACAAATAAATATATAAAACCAATCAACGGGGGCAACAACTCAAGCCCATCAGGACCACAGCAGTGCAGACAAGAAACAGAGCAGGACTGCAGGAACAGCAGGCGGGGGTTCACGCTGTTGCTCCCCCTGCTTTGCTGCTGGCTCCTCTCTGCAGCGCTTACCCCGCGCGGTGGCCGTCTCGCCGTCGGCGTGAGCCAGGCGCTGCATGGCGGTCGCTGCGGCGCACACCGGCATGCTGATCTTCTGCCCCAACACAGAGGTGGACAGGTCTATCACAGACACGTCCCTGAGTATCCGGGGGTACAGCTTCCATCTGGCACAGAGACAAATGGATAGGCTTTAAAAAGCAGGCAGGGAGTCCATTATTTACAGTTTCTAATGGCTTTTCTAAAGACTTCTCTTGTCAGGAGAAAGATTGGAAAGCTGGAGGGAAGGAAGAGGCCAGAGCTATTTGCGAGGGGGTGTCAAAGCTGGAATAAATATTTCTTGAATCACCTGGAGCTGCTGTCACCTGCTGAAATGCACAAAGGCAGGAGGGAGCGGGTAGAGGGAGGGAGGTCAGCAGAGGGTGAAAGAGGCAAAAATGACTTACAGCGCTCCTGGCTACTGCCATTAGAAAGCAAAGAGAACAGCTGAGAAGAGTAACATGTAAAATAAGTCTCAGGTTCCATGAGAGCCTTGGGCAAAACTGGACGATGAGGGTGTCAGAGGGCACCAGAAGCCACTAATCTCTATCTCGTCTCCTGTGGACCTGGGAGACACAGAAAACAAGGATTTTTGGATAAAACCAGCCTGGTCAGTGCTCTTGCCTGTCCTTGTCCCTATCTAAGGGCCTCTCGCTCCCTTGCACTTTGCTGCATTTTCTGCTCCCCTTACACCTTCCTGCCCACACTTGTGGGCAAACAAACAAGGGGCACCGACCGTCTGCATCATGGGTCTCTGCATGGGAGCTGCGATGCCTGGAAAGGGGGCAGAGAGGCTCCCTGTCCTGAGCAAAGCCAAGGCAGGGAAATGCTCTGCTCTTGGTGTCTCTTGGCACCTCAGTAGAGCTGCTTGGCCTGGAAAAGCCTGTTCCCTGCAGCCGTGGTTCAACATGTGTCTTGGTCAAGCAGGACAGCAAGCCCAGAGACTGCCCGTTACACCACAAGGACTGGAGACTTCCAGGAAAAAAACTAAACACAGCAACTGTAACTTGGCAAAGTTGCAATCAAATTACAGTCTTGTCTGTGAACGATTTGGCCCAGCAGCTGTTCACCCATCGTAGACCTTGCTTTGGCCTTTAATATGTCCACTAGAAAGTGCATCGACCCAGAGCAGGGCTTCATTCTCCATTTAGGAGCTTCACCCCAGAGTGAAGATTAAAGTTGACTTAAAGCAGAGAAAAAACAAACCAAAACAACAACCAAATTAAGTCACACACACCCTCACATGAAACTGCAGTTTTTCGAAGTCAGACAAGACATCATATGCTTGGACACAGAAATTTAAGTGCAAAAGCCAACCAAGCAAGACTACGATTCCTCTCACTGAGTCAAGCAGGCAACCCTGCAGTAGCCCAACATATACAAGTACGTTACGTTCATGAGGGAGATGCCTCTCTCCAACCAGGTGGAGTTGTAGCACAGCCCCTATTGCTAGCAGCCACCCCAGGGTACTTGTTAGCAGGGGAAGGACCAAGAGGCATCCTTGTCTTGCTCATGCATCTTTCCCTTTCAAAGGGCTCTGCATTTTCAGGTGATAGCTATTGAATTTCAATGAAATAAAGCTAACCAGCGCTGCTGAAGCTGGTTACCTGCTCTGTGCTAGAGGGCTTGTGTTCTCCAGTATTACTATGAGCATTAAATGAACATCTGGGACTACACTCTGACATTCACTAGTAGTCAGTTTGAGCCCTTGTACTAACTAACTAAACTGAAAGGAGAAGGAAAAAAAAAAAAAAAGGAAAAGAGCTACGCACAGAAGCTTCAATATCTCTACCCTGCAAAAAGATCAAGAGAGATTTCCACAAGAAATGCAGGACAGTCAAGGTGAGACCCAAATTTCTTAAACCCCAGAGTACCAGGCTGTGCCAGCTCTCCCAAACACACTCCTCAGGGAGGAGAAAGATGGTTATGATGCTTGGAAGAAGAGATGATATTGTGGGAGTCAGCTGTATTGTTTGGAGCCAAGACACACATAGCAAGTATGTATCCTTAGGCTTGTTTTCATGCTATTGGATCAGATTATTATTTTCAGGGGAGGACAGGCTGAGGGTGGGACAAAACAAAACATGGACTTTCTTTTCCTTCCTAATACTCATTCCAAAGCCTTTCTCCTAATTCTGAGCCATCTTTTCCCAGAAAAAAAAATAATAATCCTTTAATGTCTTTGCTCAGGTTCAGTATCAAGCTTAAGGTATAAACCAGGTAAACCTTTTCAGCACTGCATAGATCTAAGGATCAGTCCTGAAGTGCCAAAAGCACAACCTTTCCCCTAGCTGGGCTCCTAACAGTGCATACAAGAAATGTGATGCTATTATGAGTGGCCATAAACACCCTCTTCACTGTCACATCCCACCAAGAGACTCCAGCCACAACCTCCCTGGGCCATCAGATTTGCTAAATGCAGACTTGAAAATTGAATCCTCCCCTCTGACCCCCTTTGCAGCTCCTCTGCGCCTTGCTTCCTGGGCCACACATCCTTGAGCATCATGAAATCAACAGCCATAAGGGAAAATTTACTGGATTCCACAAAAAACATTAAAGGGATCACCAGCTTAGTCTTCCTCAAAGAAGAAAAGAGAGGGAAAGCAAACAAACAGAAATCTGCTCCTGCCAATGTGGCTTTTCTAGGGGGGGATTTTTCTGGCTGTTGCTAAGTCAGATGCTTGATACTTCCGTAGGGATGTTTCCATACGAAAATGCCCTCAATAGCAAGCAAAAACACAGGTAGTTTTGAGGGACCAGGGCTTGCATTCCTTGCACAGCCTCCCAGCACCTGCTTCCTCCCAGTCACTGAGTATAAAGATTTCCAGGCATTTTGTAATAATCTTGTGTACTTTTTTTTTTATTCTTCTTCTCCTTGTCATCCACATTTTTCTCCAGATAAAGTCCACGCTCATGCACAATAATCAGTTGTTACCTCTTGTCTCAGCTGGTACCTGGGGAGCTGCTACACAGGGGAAGGCCATAAGCATTCTCCACCCAGCAGGTGACTTAACCAGGAGTTATTTATAAAGAAGGATGGGAGGAGGACAGAGAAATTCTCTCTTCCCTCTGTGCTCAAAACTTTCCAAATGCACATGAGGTGGTTAAGATAAAGAGGAAAGCATTCAGTATTTTCCCCACGCATTTTCAGCTGTGAAAAGCTGCTGAAACTCCCAAGATGTAACATTTGCAGCAGCTCTTCTTGCCTCCAGCTCAGTAATAAATAACGCCTTGGCACTGCATTGCTGTCAGCGTGGTATGAGGAGAACTTGCTATTTGGGCAAAGTCCCTATCCCAATTCCAACTTTTTTTTGCTACCTTTGCCTCCCTGATATGCTAGTGCTGTGCACTATCAAGCAACAACTGCTTTTACTTAGGAAAAAACATTTTATCTTGCAGGGTATCTTACCATCTCAGCAGCGAAGAGTGCTCTGCTTTTCAGAGCACACCAAGCATCTCAGGTGAAGGACACTGCAGAATGTAAGCAGCTTACTGGGAGCATTCCCCTCTTTCTTACCTCTACAACTGCACATGCCTGCTCGACCCTGGTTGCATTCCCTTTTGCACTTTTAACCAGTATTTGCATTACTTAAAGGTCCAGCTATTTTAATGCCTTTTATATCTACCTACAAGACAATGATGTTTGCAGCAAATACGCATCAGTGCAATTACTGATACAGCAGCTGTTCCTGCTCCATATATAGGGCAACATAACATATCATTTCCAAAGGCCCCTGGGAAGTCAGCAGCAGACTGTGTCACAACAGATTAGAAATGTCTTCTTACACACCTGCGTCCATCTTCATTAAAATGCTGAAAGAGGAGATTTCAGATCGCTTCTTGAGTGCCATCAAGCTTAAGGCACCCAACCTTGTCATAAAATCTATTCTCTATTCAGCCCGATTGCTTCCTTGGCAACTTGAGAGTGAATTCAATCATCAGACAAGCACAGTGTTGGAAGGACACATGGTATTTTGTGACACAGAATAAATGCAAGGTGAATAAAGTCAGAATCCATAGGGAATAATGTGTGCTGTGACATCTGAAAACCTTCTCTGGCCTAAATGCTTCACTTAGACAACAGCTGTCTCCACACTATTTCAAAACCGTGATGAAAGAGTTATCTGGCCTTAGCAGTAAAAGACTGATTTTGAAATACAAGCTCTGGTTCCTCACTGCAACATCAATCCCAGAATAACAGGAAAACACAAGAATTACTGCTTCATGTTAACCTCATCCTTACCAACGGTCTTTTGGAACTTGAAAATCTAGTATCTGATTAAAGGACTTAACTCCCACAAATTATGCTTTCAAAAGGTCAGGATATTAGTTTTATAATCTAAGGCATTTGAATTTTACTTTTCTAGAAACTGCATCTTCCAGAAGATATTGGATTACCAATCAACATACTCATTTACTTGCTGCATCATTCCCTAATAGCAATAGCAGTCCATTTTTCTTTAAATGCAGGTATTAGCTTGAGAAAAAAGGAAAAGAAAAAAAAAAACAAAAAAACCCACACATCTCACATACATTCCAACAACCTGACATGGTTATTTTCCTTGACAGTACCCTTCTTAACAGGATTACTCACCTAAATAAATTTTGTACAAATGCATGGGGTGAGAATTAATGCTTTTGATTTTTTTTTCCATTTAAAAAGATTTTTAAAATACATATACTGAATATTTAAATAGATTGTAAACTTATACAATCAAGCTGAACACCGTGTGCTAAAATTGCAAGGAACTGCGCCTTTGCCAGCCAAAAAAAAAGAGAGCTGTGAGGTGATCAGAAATGAAGCTGAACATACTTCTTTGAATAAAGACAACTTAGTGATCTTTGGGAGCAGGAGGCATGAGGCATGTCTTGTTTTGCATTTCCCCAGGAGCTGCACCAAGGAACAGGGAGATAACCTGTAACATGTTCAACACAGACTTTGCAAGACCAAGGCCTGAACCCAGATTCAGTGGCAATCCTGCTCTAGTGATTAGACCATGCTTCTCCCATCAGCACTAAAAAAGAATTATTGGAGTGTTTAAATGACACCCACTTGGTCCAAGCAAGCAAGTTTTATGCTGTGAAATCCTTATACAGCTTTGCTACCCCACTCCTTCTAGATACTATGCTACCAGGGAGCCACTGCAAACATGGTCAAAGAAATTGCTAATCACAGCATCCCACATGCTGAGGATGGCAAGCAAATTTACCTACCTTTTTAACATACTTGTGAGCAGATTAGACCTGGCTTCTGCTTAAATCAGGATTAGTTATCGTGGTTAAATCAGGATTGTAGTGTTTACAAAAATTCACTGCTACTTCTGTGGGTTGCCTCCAAGCACTTCCTTTCCATCTCCTTTCCTTAACATCTTTTTTTTGTTATCAAATAATCTTTATAAATCATCTGGAAGCATTCCAGTGATTATTGGAAGGCAAGCATTATTACATCCTCTCCTACTACTACTCACCCCTTGGTGTACGGGCTGGCCTTTGGTTTGGTGTCTGAACCAAATGCAAATGGCATTTCAGTGAGTGCTTACGTCTAGCCAGAGGTCTGGAAGTACTGGCTGCAGTATAGGTTAGTTTTCTTTATACATACAAAAAATGGCAGGAAAAATATGTTCAAGTCCCTAATATTAAGCTCCTCTTAAGTTCTGGGTTCTGACCTTTGAGATACAGCTAAAGGACTTGTCACAGTTCTCTAGAGTCTCTAAGAAGTTGCATGTGATTTCCAGAGAAGGTGGAAAGGCCCCTGGAGAAGGCACAGGGCCTGGTAGTCCACACCTGCCACAAGCCCCATGCACAGGTCCTAACTCCCCAAGCTGTCTAGAAGATCACCATGAAATCAGTGTCTGTCCTTCTAACTCCCCAAGCTGTCTAGAAGATCACTATGAAATCAGTGTCTCTAACCAGATAAGTGCTATCCAACACCTCATCAAAACGAGCTGGAGTCTCCTTCATGGCAGGTGCTACAGGAGAGCAAGGCGGCACTGCAAGGAGGCGCAAATCCAGGTCAACAAACCCATCGCCACACATGGCAACATCAATACACCAGGAGGTTAACAAAGATTTAGAACCATCTCCCTCAATGACTCTTCAGCAGCAGAGTAACACAGAAGATGAAGGACGGTAAAGTTAATGGAGAAAAATGTACTCAATGATTTCAGCCTAGCCTATAATCAAACATTGCACCTATGCATATTTGACACTTTTCTCAGCAGCAACCCAAACTATTTGTCATTTGGCCTGGATGTTTGACATCTGAGAGGAGAAATAAAGTGGGGAAAGTGACAAACTAAAAATAAATTGGAAATTTTTGTTTTGGTTTGCTAGACACCCAGAACACACATGGGATTAAAGATAGGGCCTTTAAATCTTAACAAAAACAAGTGCAGGACAGTTAGATGTCTGCACTAACAAAAGCCCAAGAATGAAAGGGGAAAATGGAAGATAACAGCTATTTGTTTAGACTGTTTGACTAGGCTTAACAGGGATGATGCAATTAGCCTGCCTTTCTTTTCTGCAGTGCTTGGGCTAATGCTCTGTTGGCAGAAGAAAAATGGAGATACAAGGGAGAGGGAACCAACACAACACATGGGAAATGACTCCAAAGATGCTTTGACGCTCAGCTACAATATTCCACAGCAAAAACTACTTGGAAATTGTTCCTCTTGTGGTTCTGAACCGAAAGACCTCAAGTTTTGCAAGCTGTACAAGGGACCAGATGTAAACTGGAACTGCTTTATAAGAGCTCCCATCATTTACAGGATTTCATGCTGGAAATGAACTGACTGGAATAGCACTGACCCCGCTATTGGCAGACGCCTGCCCATAGCTTGGCCACTCAGTTCCAAGCACCGTCTCGGATGGTTGGCTTGGATTTAGCAGCATTGCCAAAACACTCATCTCAGGAGGCTAACAGGAGGTGAGAGCTGGAACCAATTCAGTAGCTAAAAAATGAGAACAGAAGCAGCCCCATGTTTATGTTATAGCCTAAATGTAGAAACTACCATTTCATCATCCAACCTGATATTGGTTGTGACAGAACTAAAAGAACAGAGACTTTATGCTAACTGCAACAGAAAAGAAACAAAACAGGCAAAGCTAGAAATCACATTCCAGTGTATTTTGGGGAATGCATTTGATAGTAAATAATCATTGGAGAAGTCAAGGACAGAGCTGCTAGGTGGTCCTGAAAAGGAGGAGCAGTGAAAGTTTGTGTGTGAGAAGTTTTGCAGAAAGCACCCACATATACTAATAAAACAGAATCAATATACAACCACATACATATATCCGTATATGTATTATAGCTTAGTCATCCTCTTACCTTGAAAATGCAGCTATGTTATCTGCTAACGTTTCTTGATCATCTGCTCCCGATCGGTAATAATCATACACAGATTTTGGAAGAAATTTTTTAGCATACTCTTCATAATCAGCAAGACAAACTGGTTTTCCAGACATTCTCACAGATCTCACAAGGCAAATTTATTCCTGCTTCCCTCTCTTTTAAGCTCTGTATCTTCTTCTGTAAATCATTAATTTTGGACTTCATCAGGATCTAACCTACTTATAAACACACATGGAAAAAACACACACATTTCTTGTGTCACTCTGGACTTCGGCCCTGTTCTATTTCACAGTGACAAGCAAAGCTATAGGAGTAAGAACTTGGGGAAGGAAAGAAAATGCATCAGCAAGCTAAGTAGTACATCAGTGCAGCATGAAATCTGCAGCAACAGGAGTGTCCTGTCTCTTGTGTATGCCTTCATTATTGAAAATATGCAGGATGCTGAAAAATAGAAGAGACAAATACTGCTTACATCCGAAGAAAAAAATTTCCATTTAGATGACTTATAAAAGCAGGTCCAAGTCTGGACTGGCATTTAATGTTTCCAGTTGTTTCTACAACTCCAGACTCTGCCAAGGTGCCTAGACCTGGCCTCCAGCTGTCTGGATATCTAAAATGTCCTCAGGCAAACAAGCCTCTCTTCTCAAGCCTCCACAGTCTTGTTATTAAATCATATCCATTCACTAGCTAGAAACAAAATTAGCCCATCAAGCAGCTGACATTCATCCAGAATGCAAGATTTCTGCAATGCCAAAATTCAAATAACAAGTATTTATAAATTGTATATAAGGAGATGCTTTTTAATGTTGATAGGGAGAAGTCACAAATGTACATATCTGGGTATATTCAATTTTCCTGCTGTGCACATTTCAATTGCTAACAGTGCAGGGTTTTTCTGTTTGCTTGTTTTTTTAAGCAGAGTTTGGGAGGAGGGAGCAATCAATATTTTAACTAGAATCAAGCCCTCCAAAGCAAAGGTTGAGGAGCAGGAGATCTTTGCAGAGCACCAGAAACAAAGCAGCACCCGCTGCGGTCACTGCAGCCCAACAGACCTCGTTTCTTGACCTCCTTGTAAGCTAACAGGCTGCTGGTCTGCTGTTGATTCACTGCTAGTTACTTGTGGTGCATTTAGAGATGAACTAGTGCAATGTAATGTAAATATAGCCTCAATTCCCCCAGCAACACAGGGTTTTGAGCAACTTGATTTTTTCAGTCACCAAGACTGAGGAATTCACACAAGGCTGAGAAATTCACACAATGTCAAGTCAAATACATATATATCTCTGTCAAAACCACAGCCATCTTCCTTGCTGCTGGTTTATAAATAACAGTTAGAACATCATATTCTGCAGAGTGAGAACACTTTGAGATTCAAAGATTTTTGAAGCATCTTTTGAGGAATATTGAAATGGGAAGGATGGTGCTAACTGTCAGGTCAGCACTGGGAAACATCTAGGGGATATTATAGCTCTTAGAGACTTGCAGCTATTTCTCTAATTGCTTTCCCAGATGAGAGCATCTTAATTTAGCACAGTGAGGAATGAGGGGGTGATCATTCTTATAGCTGTTCAGAATTTCCATAGGAGGAATTACTCAAGATTATCAATGTAAATACACACAACTACAGCATAGAGGATTTAGAGCACTTATCACAGTGTCAAATTCAACCCATACCCCAAATGGCTTAACTGGCATTTCTCTATGCTCCCAGCATAAACTGGGATTTTTTTTTCCTCCCCATTTAAAATTTGCTTTGCTTAGGCTAAAAACAGGCATTTATCCTAGAGGCTAAACATTCCATGAAAGCTACAGGTTTTGGTATATGTAACTAAACTCAATGGTGATCTGAGCTTATCTGGGCTAATCTACACAAAAATTGCTGAATATCACTACACTTTTTCACCATTGATCGTCACTTTTACCATGTCTATATACACACCAAACAAGCAAATAGCTGTGCTGCATTTCCACAGCTATTCAAGTGAAAAAACAAAACACGATAGTGTGGCCTGTGGCACCTTGAAGAAGACCAGGGTGCAAGGTCACACATCCACCTAGAAATCACATCACTTGGCATTTTAAAACACTCGTTCAAAATAAATAACTGAATCTTAATGTTAATTAAAAGTCTAAAATCTTTAGTCTCATGTTAAAAGCCTCTCTCAAACCCAGGCACAGTGGATTACTCTGGGGGAGTGGGGCCAGAGACAGAGGGGGGCACAGAAACATTCCCAAACACACAAAACAGAAGTGTCAAACCTCAAGGAGTCAAAGTTGCACTATTTTGGCAACAGTCTAGGCCCAGGTGCATCTAATACCTTCAAAACCCTATTGCACAGCCCTGACTTACTACCGTGAAAGTCTCAGTCTGCATAAGCTTCCAGGTGTTTTTTCATTAATGTAAAAGGAAGCAATTCCTTCTGCTAAATATAAAGATTTGTTTTAAAGCAAGGATTAAGCAATCTTTGCAAAGAAATCATCACCTCTCGTATCAGTTAGAAAACGATGTTAATCTTTTGTTAGTGACATAGAAGAGGACATTTCTCTGCACACTTAAAAACAAAGACTAATACAAAATCTTCAGTACAAACTTTATAGGGAATTCCAGTACAAATACTCGTAGTATAAAACTGCATCACTTCCATATAAAAAGACAATCCTGTACAACATTTCAGTGAAAGCAGGCTGCATAACAAGTGTTGCCAGCACAGATCTAGAGTATAGAGAGTAACAGAAAATCTCTTCTCAAGGTATGAGTCTAAGGGCTATATGTATTTATGCCCTCTAAAAAGTTGCATACCAAATTTTTTGCACAACTTAAGCATCCATATTCAGATCTATCAGAGGCTGTTTTTTAAAAGTGATAGATATTTCATTTTACATTTAAATCCATTCAAAAACTTGGTCATTTTTGACACATAGCTCTGATATACAAGCTGCACAGTTAACAGCCCTGCACTTAGCCAAAACATTCTGAACAGGGCCAGCAGCAGCTTCTCCAGGGGTGTTCAGTCAAAACTGCAATTGGAAGTGCAAGTTCCACTTCTGAAGATGATTCTTAGCAGAGACAGGGACAGAGAGATCACTCAGACTGCACACAAGGTATATATTGACATTTTTTGAAACACACCAAGCTTGATATCATCGTATTCACTTAATTAGATCACCTTATTAATAACCTATACTCACAGGATTCTTTTAAGATGTGTTTTTGAGGGTAGAGGGGAAACCTGACTCTGGAAGACACACTGACTCTTGCTGGCATACGTAGTGGTCTGTTACAGAGGAATTCAGCTTTTAGAACATTTAACTGCTACTTTAGCCAGACAAAATATTCTGCAAAGTTGAGTTATCTCCAGTATTTTGCCACAATATTCTTCCCACCTATATCACACGAAAGTTGGAGATATTATAGGTTGCACAGCACTTGCTCTAATGCTTTAAGCGCAATTTAGTGAATTCTGCAGATACCCCCAATATACAAGATCAGTCAAATCCAAGTTAATATTAATACTCTCCGTTTTATTCATGAGAATACAGGAGTGTTGACATACATATTATACTGTGAAGTGTTAAGACCCTAGTATTGCTCATTCTGAGATTCGCAAGAGAGATCTACAAAGAGTAAACTGCTGCCATTTACTGCCTCCTTTGTAATCTGTCCATCAAATACAAAGCTCTATTACAATGGGAAGTGATTAATATTTTCATTTGAAAGCATCCAAACTTAAGTGACATTTAAGAAAGCGGCAAGGAAGAGCTGTGAGCAGAGACTCCAGAGAGTCATCACACACAGCATCTTCCGATTTTTCTCATGGCAACTTAAAGCACCCTGCATCTGGCATGACAAGAAAAGCCATTTAGTAATTATTTTTCATTCAAAGACACTGCCATGAAACTCAGCTCTTGCAAGAGCACCTACTTTGCCTAAACATGCAAAAAGCCCAAATGCCTGATCTCAAGCTCTGAAAACAAGCAACTGGACTTTAACATTTCATAATCCCCAACAGCACATATTAAGAATACATAAGATAATGTGAATGTATAAAGCACTGTGAGCTATAAGGGTGTTCTTTACCTTTTAAAATACTCTTTAAAGAGTTAGAAAGCTAGAAAGTGTTTCAGAGGACTGGCTTCATGGCTCTTACAAAAGTGAAAATAAATTGGATCAAGTGATTATTGACATGTTCCATCTTATACAGTTTTCCTGAGTAGAACAGGACCCCATGCAGTATAAAATATTCTCTTTACTACACAAAGTAACCGCTAATCACTATCTCTGCTGAATGCAGTCTTCCATATTTTTAAGAACCTGGTAGTTTTAGATCCATGACTGAGGGGATATGTCAACTTTTATCCTACCTGAGTCCAAGTAGCTGAAGATATCCATCTGGCTCCCGAATCTCTCATGCAGCTTTGTTAAAGTCTTGCTTTCCTTTCAGCATTTTATGAAATAATGAAAAAAGCAAATACATCATGGAAGCAGTAAAACTATATCACATGGAATAGACGTTTTCTTGAATTTTTCCTTTAGTTTCCCATTCTTTAAAAAAGTGCATACCTCAACTGCTTCAAAGTTCCACTGTTCATAAGCTTCCAGAATTGCTCATGTACAGGAGACCGAACCCAGCCCGTGTTAACAAGACAAGCTACTTCTTTTCTTTATAGTGCAATGAGCTTTATCAATTGAATCCTTTCACAGTTGTAAAAGCATATTTACGAGTCTCCATTACTCTAGAATGGAAAGCTTCAGGACTGAATACACTACTTAAAGAATATTCATATTCAACATATGTAATCTGATTTTTTTCTTTATGCAGCTGTAACAGACAAATGCAAAATTTGCACCATATAGTTCCAAGACACAAATTGTAACAGAATACAGACAGGAAAATGCAAGTTTCCCCAGCAAATAAGCACATTATGAACATTAAAACAATTTCCAAGACAAATTGACCCAATTAGTCAGGGAGGACTTTTTTTTTTTTTTGCACTTGTCTCTTCTAATAAAAAATATGATTTCATCTCTGATCGCTCTTTATTCTTGGAAAAAAACATGAAGCTCATGCTTACCAGCAATGTTATGCAATACAAAAAACATCATTAAGACATCTTATTCATACAAATACACATTGACAAAGCAGGAACATATAGGATTTGACTGTAGATACTCTTCACTTAAAGGTTTGCTGTTTGTAACCACATCCCTTTCAATATTGACCAAATCACCCAGAGGAAAACACTGATTTGTTTTAATGACTTGAAGGAAATACTGCTATCCTTAATAATGCCACCTACAAATCACACTTACTGCCACCTATCTGACAAGCTATTTTCACTTTATGCAGGTTGACAGATACATGTTTAAGTAGATAAAAGTAGCAAAATTAAAAGCTTCTCTCCTCTCACTATCTTTATCCCTCCCATTTCCTAGTGAGATGATTCTAATGGGAGAAAGGAGAAAGGCACAAAGGTTAAACCTTAAGTGCCTTTTCAGTTAATATTATTAAAGCAGTTCGAGTTCTGCCAAAACCACTCTGAGCTAGAAATAACAAAACTGTGCTCCATAGGACTAGCTTGTATTGGCAAGAAATACACAGCTTACTGGCTGCAAAATTAACACTTCTTGCTACAGTCTCTTAAAAGGAGAAAAAATATATTTTAAATAGGCATTGGCAAAATTTCTCCCACTCCCCCCCCCCAAAAAAAAATTCATTCTTTTAAACCTCTGAGGTTCAAACATATTTCAAGCATCTAGCTGCAATCCTTTCTTGGCCTGAGGTTTTCGATGATTCAAATTTAGCAAGCTGAATTTATCAGGTTTTTGAACGCTTTCTTAATTACCAAAAACTGAAAAGATTTGGAGCCACATCAATCAGAATACAAAGCTCACTCTTGCAATATACTTTCAAAACAAACATTGGAAGAAAACAGAAAGATAAAGGTGCTTCAGTTGAACATGATAAAAATAAACCATCATGGACATTTTTTTTTTTTTTTTAAATAGAAAACTAGTAAGGTGCCTTCTTTCATTACTGTATCATATGTTTGATGCTTCTGTGACATTTGGAAAGTAAATACATATTCAGGCAGAAAGGTTACAACCAGGTTAGAAATCCTGGTCTTGTTTAGGCCAATATCTACTAAAGGACATAAGCACAGACGAGCACTTCATAACAACTGGACTCAGACTCTTAAGACATCTTCAAAACAGATAAAATACACTCATTTTGATTGTCATGGCAAAAGTTATATACACAGCATGTGTGCTTATAAAATGGGAGTCAATGGACAAGTATTATCAAAAAAAAAAAAAAGCCTACTGACAGAGCAGAGGTTCTGCGTAAACAAAAGTGACAAGTCAAACGTAAGCCTCAGCTTCCAACCCAAGTTCTGATACTTCTTTGGTCCAAGGGTACAAAATATGCCACCATAACAACTATAGGCCACTATCAGCCACCTGACTTCTACGCTGTCTTACTGAGCTTTCGGTCTCTGAATCAGCTAAACGTTGTTCACTTAAGTCTTCTGTTTCTTCTTCCTCTGATTCTTTAGCAAGTATCAAGTCTTCTTCCAAGTCATCAGCACTTGAATTTGCTGCATCTTCTGCATCTGAAAGATCCTTTACCTCTGCAGTTTCTTCTACATCATCTGCTGAAAGCTCTGCAGACTCCTCTGGTTCTTCTAATGCAGCATTTTCCACATTCTCCTTTTCAATCACTTCGTCTAAATAAAGACAGAATTGCAAATACGAAGATCACACGGAATCTTAAAATAGCATGTCCTTTAAAGTTACATCACTAGGTAGGTATTCTGCAACAGTCATGATCATTGTTGGCAACTTCTATAAAGACAGATCCAGTATACTTAACTCTTTCAAAGAGATCATCATCAAATGCATCGGAAAAAGCAGTAAGATCCTGGTAAGTTTTGACACTAACATCTGCTATCAAGTATCAAGTCAATCAGCTGCACACATACGCAATGGGTTTTGATTTGTTTTTCTCTCCTTACAGTGATGTTGGACTGCCAAGATGTTGAAGATGACCATACTGCATGCTTAGGAATTTTAGGTTTGGCCAGTGCCTTACTGGCAAGTGTCACAGATGCACCTTCATACCCAACATACACACCAATACTGAACTTCAAGAATCAGTATTTAATTTAAAAGGCAAGTTTTGCTTCCACTTGATAGTGGAACCACAACCACATCACAAGGTGTTCTGGAAACTAATGCACACCTTGTATTGATAAA